ACTTGAAAATAAAGATAATTGTACTTCCTTCTTTCTTTTTTTTGGTTAATTTTACTTTAAGTTCTGGGCTACACGTGCAGAACGTGCAGGTCTGTTACACAGGTGTACATGTGCCGGGGTGGTTTGCTGCACGTACCAACCCGTCATCTAGGTTTTAAGCCTCGCGTGCATCAGGCATTTGTCCTAATGCTCTCCCTCCCCCTTGGCCCCGCCCCCAGACAGGCCCCGGTGTGTGGTGCTCCCCTCCCTGCGTCCACGTGTTCTCACTGTTCAGCTCCCACTTATGAGTGAGAACATTCAGGGCTGGGCTTTCTGTTCCTGTGTCAGTTTGCTGAGAGTGATGGCTTCCAGCTTCATCCATGTCCCTGCAAAGGACATGAACTCACTCCTTTTTATGGCTGCATTTATTTAATTATTTATTGAGATAGAGTGTCCCTCTGTTGGCCAGGCTGTCCCTTCAAAGGACATGAACTCATCTTTTTTATGGCTGTTTTTTTTTTTTTTTTTTTTTTTTTTGAGACAGAGACTCCCTCTGTTGCCCAGGCTCAAGTGCAGTGGCACGATCTAGGCTCACTGCAACCTCTGCCTCCTGGATTCAAGTGATTCTCCTGCCTCAGCCTCCCAAGCAGCTGGCATTTCAGGTGTCTGCCACCATGCCTGGCTAACTTTTGTATTTTTAGTGAGACGGGGTTTCACCATGTCGGCCAGACTGCCCTCAAACGCCTTAACTCAGGTGATCCACGGCGCTTGGCCTCCCAAAGTGCTGGGATTACAGGCGTGAGCCACTGTGCCCGGCCCAGTTATGCCTATTTCTGATCATTCTGCCTTTTGTTCTTTTTCTAGTCTGACTCATTGGCTAGGGTTTTCCATACAATGTTGAAAAGGTGGTAAGAGGGAAGTGGAGCAAGATGCTAAAGTGGAACCCTCCAGCAACCATCCCTCACCCCACCCCCACCTGCCCAGGACCCCAAAACTGTAAACTATCAAGATGAGAGAGCACCTTCATAAGAACCAAAAATCAGAGGAGCAATTACAGTATCTGGTTTTTTTGGTTCTGTTGTTTGAGATGGAGTCTCACTCTTGTTGCCCCGGCTGGAGTGCAGTGGCGTGATCTCAGCTCACTGCAGCCTCCGCCTCCCGGGTTCAAGCAATTCTCCTGCCTCAGCCTCCTGAGTAGCTGGGATTACAGGCACTCACCACCAGGCCTAACTAATTTTTGTATTTTTAGTAGAGATGTAGTTTCACCATGTTGGCCAGGATGGTCTCAAACTCCTGACCTCAGGTGATCTGACCTCCTCAGCCTCTCAAAGTGCTGGGATTACAGGCGTGAGCCACCGCGCCCAGTCTATGGTATCTGGTTTTAATATCATCTCAAGAAAAGGGGCACTGAAGAGGACAGAAAAGACATCAGCCCTGTCCTGTGCCAGGGCAGCAGTCACAGGGCAGGAGAGACCGTCTGTGCTGGGAGGGAGAGCACAGTGATGCCAGGGCAGCGGTCACAGGGAGGAGAGAGTGTGCTGGAGGGAGAGCACAGTGATGCCAGGGCAGCGGTCACAGGGAGGAGAGAGTGTGCTGGAGGGAGAGCACAGTGATGCCAGGGCAGCGGTCACAGGGAGGAGAGAGTGTGCTGGAGGGAGAGCACAGTGATGCCAGGGCAGCGGTCACAGGGAGGAGAGACCGTCTGTGCTGGGAGGGAGACCACAGTGATGCCAGGGCAGCGGTAACAGGGAGGAGAGACCGTCTGTGCTGGGAGGGAGAGCACAGTGATGCCAGGGCAGCAGTCACAGGGAGGAGAGAGTGTGCTGGAGGGAGAGCACAGTGATGCCAGGGCAGCGGTCACAGGGAGGAGAGAGTGTGCTGGAGGGAGAGCACAGTGGTGCCAGGCAGCGGTCACAGGGAGGAGAGAGTGTGCTGGAGGGAGAGCACAGTGATGCCAGGGCAGCGGTCACAGGGAGGAGAGAGTGTCTGTGCTGGAGGGAGAGCACAGTGGAGGTAGAGGACAGTGATGCCAGGGCAGCAGTCACAGGGAGGAGAGAGTGTCTGTGCTGGAGGGAGACCACAGTGATGCCAGGGCAGCAGTCACAAGGAGGAGAGAGTGTCTGTGCTGGAGGGAGACCACAGTGATGCCAGGGCAGCGGTCACAAGGAGAGAGTGTCTGTGCTGGAGGGAGACCACAGTGATGCCAGGGCAGCGGTCACAGGGAGACCGTCTGTGCTGGGAGGGAGAGCACAGTGATGCCAGGGCAGCGGTCACAGGGAGGAGAGAGTGTGCTGGAGGGAGAGCACAGTGATGCCAGGGCAGCGGTCACAGGGAGGAGTGTCTGTGCTGGAGGGAGAGCACAGTGGTGCCAGGGCAGCGGTCACAGGGAGGAGAGAGTGTCTGTGCTGGAGGGAGACCACAGTGATGCCAGGGCAGCAGTCACAGGGAGGAGAGAGTGTCTGTGCTGGAGGGAGACCACAGTGATGCCAGGGCAGCAGTCACAAGGAGGAGAGAGTGTCTGTGCTGGAGGGAGACCACAGTGATGCCAGGGCAGCGGTCACAAGGAGAGAGTGTCTGTGCTGGAGGGAGACCACAGTGATGCCAGGGCAGCGGTCACAGGGAGACCGTCTGTGCTGGGAGGGAGAGCACAGTGATGCCAGGGCAGCGGTCACAGGGAGGAGAGAGTGTGCTGGAGGGAGAGCACAGTGATGCCAGGGCAGCGGTCACAGGGAGGAGTGTCTGTGCTGGAGGGAGAGCACAGTGGTGCCAGGGCAGCGGTCACAGGGAGGAGAGAGTGTCTGTGCTGGAGGTAGAGCACAGTGATGCCAGGGCAGCGGTCACAGGGAGGAGTGTCTGTGCTGGAGGGAGAGCACAGTGGTGCCAGGACTTCGCAGTGACACTCAGTGCTGCCCGGGCACAGTGGAAAACAGCACAGAGAGAGCATTTACAGCAGCCCTGGCAAAGGCAAACCGTCAGTCTCACTGCTGTTGACCTCAGTTCTAGAAGCCTCGCACCGCTGGCTACAGGGCTGCGAAAGGCAGCCTAGGCTGCGGGGACCGCAGTTCCTGGAAACGTCCTGGTCCTGTGCGGGGCTGCAGCCGGTGGGCTTGGGGTGCACGAGCTAGTGAGATGCCAGCAGGGGCAGCCAGGAGTGCTGGTGTCACCCTCCCTGCCCCATGCTGTGCAGCTCACTGCGCTGGGAGACACTTCCTTCCACTGGATGAGAGCAGAGGAGGATATGCAGGACTTTGTCTTACAAGCTGGGTACCAGCTCGGCCACAGGAAATTAACTCACCCAGCAGAGTCCCGAAGCGACCCCTTCTCTCCCTGTTCTAGGCCCCAGCTACTGGACATTTCTGGACACATCCTGGGCCAGAAGGAACCTGCTGCATGGAATGAAAGGGCCCCGTCCCCGCAGCATGTTCCCCTCCTGAATAAATAGCTTTGGGTCTTAAATAAATATCAGCAGTAGCCAGGCAGTGCTCCCCACGGGTCTTGGGTGAGACTCAGAGCCTTACTGGCTTTGTGTGAACCAGCACATCTCCAGCTGTGGTAGCCACAGAGAGAGGCTCCTTGTCCTTGAGAAAAAGGGGAGAGAAGGCCAGGCACGGGGCTCATGCCTGTCCTGTAATTCCAGCACTTTGGGAGGCTGAGGTGGGTGGATCACAAGGTCAGAAGTTCGAGACCAGCCTGACCAACATAGTGAAACCCCAGCTCTATTAAAAATACAAAAATTAGCTGGGCATGGTGGAGCATGCCTGTAATCTTAGCTACTCGAGAGGTGAGGCAGGAGAATTGTTTGAACCCAGGAGGTGGAGGTTGCAGTGAGCCGAGATCACATCACTGCACTCCAGCCAGGGCAACCTAGAAGATTCCATCTCAAAAAAAAAACAGGCTGGGCACAGTGGCCCACACCTGTAATCCCGGCACTTTGGGAGGCCGAGGTGGGCAGATCATGAGGTCAAGAGATCGAGACCATCCTGGCCAACATGGTGAAACCTCATCCCTACTAAAAATACAAAAATTAGCTGGGTATGGTGGCATGCACCTGTAGTCCCAGCTGCTCAGGAGGCTGAGGCAGGAGAATCGCTTTAATCTGGGAGGCAGAGGTTGCAGTGAGCCGAGATCACACCATGCCCTGTAGCCTAGGTGACAGAGCGAGACTGTCTCAAAAAAAAAAGTAAATAAAATTACATACGTGGTACATGGTGACAATACATTGCATAGTTAGAAACTGCCAATAGAGGCCAGGCACGGTGGCTCACGCCTGTAATCCCAGCACTTTGGGAGGCCGAGGTGGGCGGACCACCTGAGGTCAGGAGTCCAAGACCAGCCTGGCCAACATGGTGAAACCTTGTCTCTACTAGAAACACAAAAATTAGCCAGGCATGGTGGCGGGCACCTGTAATCTCAGCTACTCAGGAGGCTGCGGCATGATAATTGCTTGAATCCAGGTGGAGGTTCAAATGCCTCAAATGTGTCAACAGTGTGTCACATTTGTCAATGTTGCTTACACCCTTCGTGTACTAATTAACCCTTTAGCCCAACCCATCACCTCCATTACTATCTCCACAGCAAGTCTGCTGCTTAGCAGTGAGGCGCCAGCCTGAAAAGCCTCTCTTGTGATTCCGACTATCTGACATTCTGAAAGAGGTAACCTTATGGATATAGTAAGAGCTGTGGCTGCTAGGGCCTACAGAAGGGGCAGATGAAGTACGTGCCGAGCACAAGATTAACAGCAAAAACCTATCCTGAATGGTACCAGAATAGTATGACACATCTGTCATCACACGACTGCCAGAACCTTAGAACAAACTCTCACGTAAGCAGTAGACTACGGGTGCCAAGGATGTGCCCATGTGGGCTTGCTCACCGCAACGAACAGGCCACTCTGGGGCAAGGTGCTGGCAGTCACGGAGGAGGTCTAAGGGGCAGAAACAGTGGATATGTGAGAATCCCGTTTAACTTTGCTACAGGCTTAAAACTGCTCTCGTTAAAAAGTTTATTTAAAAAATGACAACTCAGTGTTCAAGTGTTTTATTAAATCAGATAAGGAATCTCCACATGGTTGGGCATACCAGCTTATATACAGTTATAAGGACGTGTCATTTGTTTACAAAGAAAGTGTTCAATTTCAAGAATATTCAAAGAGCTAACACAGTAAAGTTCATGCAAGTTCTAGAATAGTGAATCACGACAGAACTCATTTTATCCTTTACCTTCAAAATCCACATGATCTCTAAGAAGCCTGAAGACCACCAGCAGCCTGTCACCAGTCTGACACATATTTCACTCAGGACTGTTGAGCTTCTTACCACAGGCTGGCTTGACAGGAAGCAACTCAACCCTAACTACAGAAGAGGGTTTTCTGAAGAGATTTACGGCTGCCCCTTTTTCATGTTGTGTTACAACGTGAGTATGTCGCACACTTTCATTAAAGGATGTGTGCGTAACACCCAAACCAGGAGCTTCAGCCATGGCCTCTTCACTTGGCTACACCGAGGATCGGCCCAGGGTCAAACACCGAAGACTAGAGACTACGAGCAGTGAAATGATGCAGGTGAGGCTGTAAATCCTGTCACCTCCTGTAACGTGGTAAGTGACACTAAGTCTTAGAACCTCAGAGACCGCATGAACGTTTTCCTAGGAGGCAGCTCAGACTACCCCGTGACAAACAGCTGATTGTCACATTTATAGTGATGGTTCACTAGAAAATAGTCTTTACTCACAGAACCCCAGACTTATTCATACCTACATGTAAGTCATACCCGCCATATACTAATGGGTAGGTAGATAGGATCAAAGATCTTTCGGGGACTCTTCCTCCACACACCTTTCACTCCTCACTCCCCCTAAACGTCCTATACAAAGCCCCCCTGCTTTCAGTCCAAAGGTCAATTCTGGATTAAAACTTGCCTGAACTAAGTTTATAGGAGATTAACATGCAGATAAGGTGATAAAGTTAAATCTACTTGTAAATAGCAAACATTATAAATGCATGCTACTATTTCGTTAAGCAGAAGACCTGGAGAAACCACGAAGGTAACAAAAACCCACATGAAATTTCAAATTTTAAAGTAATTTCATTTTGCAGTGGTTGAATTTACCCATCAAATGCTGAATGACCACAAAATGATTCTGCAACTAAAAGCAAAAGACAGGGAATGACAGGAGTTGGGGATACATGTTAGATACTAACGATCTTCAAGCTTTGAAGACCTCATTGCATGAAGAAAATTATGGGAAACACTGCTCCCGATAATTACGTACACCCTTAGTGTAACATGGAGGTCACTGCCTCCGATATAGACACTGTGGTAGGCAAAAGCTACCTTGTTCTTCATACATTATGGAAGACACTGCTCCCGATAATGTGTTAGGATTCTGACAAAGGTACTGGAAATTTTGCAACATGGGATTAGAGTTATACCTTGGATAAACTGAGCTATAAAATTTTGGAGTACTACCACAGCCTTTAAGTGACATTTATTTAAAACTTGGTCACAAGTCATTGCATTTAGGAAAACTATTATTTTCATCTGGTCGGTGCTCACTTCTCAGCAACCCCTCATTAAATTTAATTCATCTCTAGATCTTAGCTTCCACTTTATTCAATTACATTTGGCTTGCGGCTGTTTTCTAAAACCCCTAAGTATTGACCATAAATGCAAAACTTCCAGTATCTGTTGGGTTTTATTAGCAGATGCTGCTTTTATTTAAAAAAAACCGACAGTATAACTGTCATAATTATGGAAGGCACTGCTTCCGATAATTATATTCTATTAAAAAACACTATTTATAGTGAACTCTGTCACTGATAAATAAACAATAAATATTTCAGTGCCAAAAGGACAGAAAGCTTTCCTGTAAGAAACACTTTGGCCAAAATGTGGCAGTGTATTCTTCAAAGTCTGACAAACTGAGTCTGAAATTAAACACCTGAAACTGGTTCTCTCTCAATGTACTTTGGAAGAAACAAAAATAACAAGGAACTAAATGGAGGCTTGGGGGGACGGGACAGAGGAAAGGAAAATACTAAGTCTTTGGCTTCTGCTCCCCTCTTTTCATAAATGACGCTGAGGTTAACATATTAAGGCCTTGTTCCTGCAATCAACAGCTCAACTTCATTTTCTCCAGCAGAAGGGCCTCCATTTCAGACTCAATGGCAAGAAAAGAAGTCCCATCTCCTCTGAAAGTTAGTTTCTTTCAGGAAGGAGGAAACCAGCTAAATTCCTTATGGAAAGGCTTAGATCTCATTTGGAGAGAATAAGGTCTTACAACCTGGCATCTCTAGCTAGCATCAAATGAAGTTAGAGGATTGCTTTAAGTAAGTTACCACTTACAACCTTCAGCAGAGACCAGCCCTTAGGATTTAGAGCAATAGTTCACAGCACTGGTTTCTGACATTTTCATTAATAACAAGAAAGAGGAAGTTACCATTACCAAGCACTTGAAATTACAGAGATACAATATTCCATCACGAACATTTTTTATGTAGTTATTCGCTTTGACTGTATCTACCCTGTATGAAAAGCTGCGGCCTAAAGACATCTAGTAGTACCAAGATGATTGGATGGAATTTTAACATCAGGTTTTGTAGCCCCACTGAAAATTTAGCACAAGTGTAGAAATCAGACTGCCCTGCTGTTTTGACGTAACTTACGGGTATCACATTTAAAACTCATTGTCAATGTCCCAAATGTCACCAGAGAGGGCATTTGCAGCTCCCTGAATAGTCCAAGTAGCAAGAGCCAACTGGTTTCTGAACAGTGTTTCATTGAAAGCACGGTTATTTGTTTTACGCAGTTTCAGGTGCTCTAGTAAAGCTGACAGCGTGTGAGAGCCAGAGCCCCAGAAGATATGCCGGAAAGGAGACTCTCTGGGAGACACATAGGGCGAGAGGAAGTAATATTCCACCTGTGAAAACAAAACAAGGCAATTTACACAGTCCTACGACCTTTGTAGTAAAACAACTGTTCTTTCACTTCAAATGTACAATTCCCTACATTTTTTTTTTCCACTTCACAATTCTTTATGACTGACACATTTCCCAAATTTAAGAATGCTGATCAGACTTTTTTTTCTTGGGATAGAGTTTTGCTCTTGTTGCCCAGGCTGGAGTGCAATGGCTAAATCTTGGCTCACCGCAAGCTCCACCTCCCGGGTTCAAGTGATTCTCCTCCCTCCGCCTCCTGAGTAGCTGGGATTACAGGCGTGTGCCACCATGCCCGGCTATTTTGTATTTTTAGTAGAGGTAAATCTTCACCATGTCGGTCAGGCTGGTCTTGAATCCATGACCTCAGGTGATCCGCCCACCTTGGCCTCCCAAAGTGCTGAGATTACAGGCACTAGCCACTGCAGCAGACTTTCTATAGCAGAGTAAGGAAAAGCAATGCTGAGAGGCAGGCTAATGCTAATCTTCTAAGGTGAAAATTCTGACGGAGGCTGAGCTGAGCAGAAAAAAACAAAGGAATTCTAGACTCCTAGAGTTTGTCCACTTTGCAAAAATGCAAGATTTATCAATGAAAATTTTACACATACTTTTAGTTCTCCCTTTCCCGAAAGGTTCTTACTTTCATGACACGATCATTGAGTTCCTTCATGACAAATCTGTCTGTTTTCTCAGAGTTCTTGAAATCTGTGGTGAGTCTGGAAGTAGCGCGGAAAAAGTCCCCACGAGCAGAATACAGCCACTGCAAACTCAGGCCCATTTCCTGAAACAGACATGAAATTCACCACGAGACATTTTATTTCTAAGGGCATTATTTGTATGCCTTTCTAATTTAATGTGTGTTAAGTAAGATTCTGATAAAAGGGACTCGCAGGTAAGACAAGCTCAAGACTCAGAAAGCACCTTGAGCAGGGGTTCCAAGCAGTACACTCAGATTTGAGCCATGTAAGAAAACCATTCTCATTTAGAAATTCAACATAATTATAATCCTACATACTATATTGTTTCCAGTTCAATTCCCCTTATGGGGACAACTTTAAGGGGGAAACATTTTGGTTCAGTGTACTTCAGGGTCTGGTTATTTCCATCTGGTTAAGTTCCATTTTCAACAGTTACAACTAGTTTCAAGAAAGACGTAAGATTCGGTTATCAGTGGTTTACTTCAATTAAGAGAGCTGTTAAAAATCAACTCCAAGTACCATAAAACCATCTGGAAGGTACTTAATATTAGAATTATAGTTACTTAGAGATGAGATTTGGCTATGCTGCCTGGGCTGGGCTCAGCAGTCCTCCTGCCTCAGCAGAAGTAGCCGGGGCTGTGGACGTGCACCACCTCACCCTGCTGATCAGTTTCATTTAATTCTAGATGCACAGGGTCAATACGAGACAGAATCCTACTAGCTGTGCCCTTTCCATCCATGGGGTGTCCGCAAGGCACACAGCCCAGCTCACAGCTGAGATTGTCGTATTCTGTGTCCTATTTATGGGCTGTCTGGAAGACCTGAGCAACAGAAAACCTAACGCTTCTCTGGATTCTGAAATACCTGGTGAGCTCTATCCAAGCTCTCTAATCCACAGCCTCCCAACTTCTCTCAAACAAATTACAATTCTCTCAATTCACTTTAAAATGTACCTTGGCTACAATCATCCTTCCACCAGGAACACACACACTTCAAAATACTTGACATTCAGAGATAAAAACATAACTGGAATCAGTGCTCACCCTTATGTCTGCTCTGTATTGGTTCAGATTCCTCAGAAATGAAAGTAGTTGGCTGTTATACCTCTCATAATCCAGGTTTAATTCAACATCATGGGTCAGTTTAATCATGAACTGACCAGCTACTTCTGCAGCTGCTCGTGCCACTTTGTTCAACTGAGGAATTTTCTCAATCAGTTCCTTATAGGTGTCCATGGTGGTACCCAAATAAGGATAATCTGTGTCCTGTAAGAAAAGGCGAGGCTATGGTATTCACGTGAGTTATAGGAGCAAAAGCCTCATATTCTAGCTCCACCATGGAGGTGACAGTTACTGCAGTTCTTCCCTCGCTTCTGACATATTCCTACCCCAATTTTACCTCATTATCTGCATGTACATTCTTGCTACTTCTCTGAACCTAATCTACTCCTAGAGTGACTTTCTTCCAGGTTCTACAGAATTCATCTTTCATCATATCATAATCCTGAATACATTTCTAGCCAAATTCCTTAAAGCCGTATGTTTTCCTCTCTGGGAAGTTTAGGCCTCTACCAATGGAAAAATAGAACACACATGAATGTACCTTGAGACAAGGTCTCACTATGTCACCCAGGCTGGAGCACAGTGGTGCAATCATGGCTCACTGCAGCCTTGAGCTCCTGGCTCAATGACCCTCCTGCCTCAGCCTCCCAAGGAGCTGGGACTACGGTGCATGCCACTGGGCCAGCTGAATTTTAAAAAAAGATTTTTTTTTAAAAAGATGGGGTTTCACCATGATGGCCAGGCTGGTCTTGAACTCCAGACCTCAGGTGATCCACCCACCTTGGCCTCCCAAAGTGCTAGGGTTAGAGGCATGAGCCACCGCATCCAGCCTTAAAAAAATTTTTGTAGCGATATAGTCTCAGCATGTTACCCAGGCTGGTCTCACTCCTTCCAGGCCTCAAGCAACCCGCCCACCTCAGCCACCCAATGTGCTGGAATCATAGGTGTGAGCGGACTGTGCCCAGCCTGATGAAAATACTAGTCAGCTGGACTGTCCAGTAGGCACCAATGCTCAGTCACTCAAGAAGTTCAGCCCCTGGCTGGGCATGGTGGCTCACGTCTGTAATCCCAGCAGAGACTGCACCACTGCACTCCAGCCTGGGCAACAGATCAAGACTCCATCTCAAAAAATAAACATAAAAAAACTCAGCCTCATTATTTTTGGGTATTTTTTGGGACAGAGTCTCACTGTCACTTGGCTCACTGCAACCTCTGCTCCCCAGGTTTAAGCGATTCTCCCATCTCAGCCTCCCGAACAGCAGGGATTAGCCATGCCTGGCTAATTTTTTTTTTGTATTTAGTAGAGATGGGGTTTTATCATGTTGACAGGACTGGTCTTGAACTCCTGCTCAAGTGATTGGCCCATCTTAGCCTCTCAAATGCTGGGATTATAGGAGTGAGCTACCATACCTGGCTAAGCCTCTTTATTAAAACTCATACTTAATTGAAGAAGTTTTGGCAATAAACTCAAATGCTAATTAAGCTAACTGAGATGAACAAGTATATGTGAAAACTGATCATGAAAAAACATGCAATAATGACATGTGTATATAACTTCTTAAAATATTTTAAGCACTCCAGTAAACTTGGTCTGAAAACTGATACAAGAAGATCCTTGGCCGGGTGTAGTAAGCAGCTCTTGCCTGTAATCCAAACAGGCTGAAGGCGGAGGACTGCTTGTCCAGGCCACTGCACCCCAGCCTGGGTGACAGAGCAAGACATCATTCTCAAGAAAGAAAAATACAACAACTAAGATACGTGAGTTGTCAAAATCAAAATGAAGTCACCAGTCTTAACAAAAGTGCAACCCCGAAGAGAAGGGTCTCTCCCTTGTATGTCTGATAACAAGGACTAAGGGGTTTTTTCCTTTTTACAAAATCTGCAACCTTGCACCAAAAAAGTTCTTTTGGGACGATCTGCCTAGCAACTAACTGTCTGTCAACCGTGGACTGGCGTCACCCTTGTTACTTATCTTGGTAGCCCAGAATAATTACCCCAAAACAATTATGCAATCCTCATCACTGGTCCTTTAAAAACCTGTTTTCTTCTACATCTCTGAATATGAACACAGTTTACTATATAGCACATGCACTCCCACTGCAATGCCCTAGTCCCAAATAAAGATCATGTCCTTTTCAAGAGCCTCTCTCCATTTGTTACTTAAGTTAACAGATGTAATGCTTTAAGTTCTTCAGACTTACCTCGCAAAAGCAGAAAGAAACTGCTGGGATTCCAGAATATGCAAGGAAAGGGAAAGCAGCATTGTCAAAAGTGAGTTTCTCACTGCAAGGAGAAAGAATGCATCTTTAGAAAGTTTCTATCATAGACAATGTTCTATCATGCAAATCCCCCCATCCAAATACATTCTTAGTGAATATTGTTAGGTATAAGTAAGCTCACTGCAAGGACAGATTAGATTCTACCTAACATAGTACACAGAATCTCTGCCTTTCTAATAGCTTGTCATTCACTCTTCTCAACTTACACTTTGCTGGCCCAGTTGCTGTCCTGATATAGAGACAGGCCAGTAACCGGATGTTTCACCTGTAAGATAAGAAATTATCATCAAAACTAACATTTTGGAACTTATTTATTCTGGCTAGTCACTAACATGTTACTCTATAAACATTTATAAATATAAAACTTGTATCTTAAAAAGAATTAATGACAGTACAATCTCAACTTTATTATTAACTAGGCTCATGTTGTCAGTTCCTTTAGTTATGGTGAGGAAAAAATGTCTTCTCCTTAATTAACACTTTAAAAGTGGGCCAGTTGGGCATGGTGGCTCACGCTTATAATACCAACACTTTGGGAGGTGGGTGGATCATGAGGTCAGGAGTTCAAGACCAGCCTGGCCAAGATGGTGAAACCCCATCTCTACCAAAAAATAAAAAATAAAAAAAATAAAAAATAGCTGGGTGTGGTGGTGGGTACCCGTAATTCCAGCTACTAGGGAGGCTAAGGGATTGCTGAAGCTAGAGAGTGCCAGGGCACTCCAGCCTGGGCAATAGAGCGAGACTTGGTCTCAAAATACATACATACACATACATAAATGCGGGCCTAGGTCATGTGGGGTAGTTCACGCCTGTAATCCCAATACTTTGGGAGGCTGAAGTGGGAAGATCACTTGAGCCCAGAAGTTCGAGACAACATAACAAGACCTTGTCTCTTAAAAAAAAAAACCCTGGTGGCTTACCCACAATTTTAAAAGCCCTCTCTAGGCTTCATCATATGCCTATCTTGTTTCTGGTTTCTTCCTTCTAGTACATCTTATATCACCAACCGAACTGGCAAATTCATTACTGCCTTGCTTGAGATCCTACAATCCCTTGTATCCCAGGATCAAGGCCAATGTCTGCTATCTGACCTGTTTCTAACTTTATTCACTCCAAGATACAGCCTCTAATTCCATTAGGCAAGGATTTTCTTTCACATGCTGCTTGCTCATTCAAAACTACGGTAATTATTTATTCAATAAATATTTTGTTACTGATATGTTTTGTTACGGATACTTGCTACTGATTATTGCATAATCAGTGTTTATTACCACAATAAACGCTAATACTACATATTGGTGTTTCATCTCAGGTCGGTTCAACAGAAAATGAAGTCATACATTTTTGTATTAGGTATACACTCACCTCTTGCATTGTTTTCTCGATAAGCGCATACAACAATGGGCTGGCAGAAACCCTGAAGTTGCTGGTACCTGTAAAGAAATTATTTTATCTTTGCCTATTCTCCACTCCAGTGATTTTCACACTGCTACTTCTACAACTAAAAGTACTTGACAAACAAAACAGTAATCTAGATCAACAGCCCTAGGCAACAACTCTCCCACTAATCAAGTAGACAAAAGCAATTTTGGTATCAAGGTCTTTAGCAACTATACTAACTTGACTTCTTACTCCTTGAGTTTGCATACTTTAATCCTAGTGATCTTTTTTAAAAGTATCAGAGCAGTTTTAGGTTCAACAGCAAAATTAAGAGAAAGGTACCTCGAGTTCCTAGAATTCTACTCGCCCACACATGTACAGCCTCCCACACTAAGCAACTTCACATTTAACTTTTTGGTTCACCCAGGTTAGAGCTATAGTACATTCCGGTGCAAATACACAACAGGGAAATAACTAGGAAATTCCTTCCTAGTTTAAATGTAACTCCTTCCTTTTCTCCCATGTAGACATTTCACTATTCCCAGTTCATCAGCTACATCTGCACTTTCCTTCTAACCCCATTCCTGTTGCGTGTACACCCGCACTTTCTTACCCCATTCCTGTTGCGTGTACACCTATACTTTCTTTCTTATCCCACTCCTGTTGCGTGTACACCTATACTTTCTTTCTTATCCCACTCCTGTTGCGTGTACACCTATACTTTCTTTCTTATCCCACTCCTGTTGCGTGTACACCCGCACTTTCCTACCCCATTCCTGTTGCGTGTACACCCGCACTTTCTTACCCCATTCCTGTTGCGTGTACACCTGCGCTCTTATCCCATTCCTGTTGCGTGTACACCTGCGCTTTCTTATCCCATTCCTGTTGCGTGTACACCCGCACTTACCCCATTCCTGTTGCGTGTACACCTGCGCTTTCTTACCCCATTCCTGTTGCGTGTACACCTGCGCTCTTATCCCATTCCTGTTGCGTGTACACCTGCGCTTTCTTATCCCATTCCTGTTGCGTGTACACCTGCACTTTCTTATCCCACTCCTGTTGCGTGTACACCTGCACTTTCTTATCCCACTCCTGTTGCGTGTACACCTGCGCTCTTATCCCATTCCTGTTGCGTGTACACCTGCGCTTTCTTATCCCATTCCTGTTGCGTGTACACCCGCGCTTTCTTTCCTACCCCATTCCTGTTGCATGTACACCTGCACTTTCTTACCCCATTCCTGTTGCATCCACACCTATACTTTCTTTCTTATCCCACTCCTGTTGTGTGTACACCTGCACTTTAAATAACATTCAAATTTTTTGTCAATTTTTCTGCTGCCAGTGAATGAACATTCAAACTCTTCTAGAAGTTTGATTATCCAGTATTTCTATCAGTGATGCCACAACGTTAACAGGCTGTGATTACTCTCTTAAGTAACATTCTACATGGTATAGTTTAGTTTCTTCTCACCTAAATATAGCCCAGACTTATGGTTCTAAACTTTAGTACATCAGAATCACCTGGCATGTTTGTTAAAAGTTTTTTGTGGCCGGGCATGGTGGCTCATACCTGTAATCCAAGCACTTGTTGGAGGCCAAGGTGAGTGGGTCACCTGAGGTCATGAGTTCAAGACCAGCCTGACCAACATGGTGAAACCCCATCTTTAAAAAAAAATAAAGTTTTCTGTTTGTGTTTTTTTGTTTCAGGATACTTTGCCCTTAAGAAAATAGTGCTTCTTTTCCCCCAAGGGGTGAAAAAAAAAAAAGACCAGTTTTTTTGTTTTTGAGATGGAGTTTCTCTCGTCGCCCAGGCTAGAGTACAATGGCACGATCTTGGCTCACTGCAACCTCTACCTCTTGGGTTCAAGTGATTCTCCTGCCTCAGCCTCCCAAGTAGCTGGGATAATGGGCATGAACTACCACACCTGGCTAATTTTTATATTTTTAGTAGAGATGGGGTTTTCACCTTGTTGGCCAGGCTGGTCTCAAACTCCCAACCTCAGGTGATCTGCCCACCTTGACCTCCCAAAGTGCTGGGATTATAGGCACGCACCATCACGTCCAGCCAATAAAGCCCAGTTTTTAGATCCACACTCTCATTTCTGACTCAGAGGTCTGGGCTGGATCTGAACATCTGCATATGTAATAGTTCCCAGATGGTCCTGATGCCACTGATCTGGGGACCACTTTGAGAACCACCCACTGCTCCAGACAAGGCTATCTGTGCTTATTGTGTAATTTGACTATTTAAAAGAAAGCTAAGATACAGTCTGGAGGTAATGGCTCACGCCTGTAATCAGCATTTTGGGCAGCTAAGGTGAGCAGAATACTTTAACTCAGGAGTTTGAGACCAGCCTGGGCAACATGGCAAAACCTCATCTCTACAAATAATTAGCCAAGTGGCTGAAGTGGGAGGATCACTTGAACCCAGGAGGTCAAGACTGCAGTGAGCCATGACTGTGCCACTGCACTCCAGCTGGGTAACAGAGTGAGACCCTGTCTCAAAAAAAAAAAACTTTCTTCCACTTAGAAGTAGTTTACCTGAATTCATAAGCATCTAATGAAAGGGATGCTTACCAAGAACAGCTTTATCCAGATTAATAAAAGTGAAAGCCTTTAAATGCAAGGATGAAAGGTATCCCTAGAAGAGAAGGGAAAACACTAGTAAGTATAAATCTGTTTATCCCATACAGTAACATTAGGGATTCATTTTCAAATCTAGACTCTACTGAGACTAAATGCAAAGGCAAAAATGGTAATATTAAACCTATAAGAACATCATTTCTGGAGCACAGCTTAAGTCCACAGTTCAGGTGCCCAGTATAGGAATGGATGATAAAGAATACCTCTAGCCATTCAGTGGCACCAACCGATCCAAAGTCTCCAGCACTCCAACTGGCAAATACAATGCTTCTGCTGGGCTGAAACCCATCTGAAAGGGAACAAAGTTAGCTTTATCTTGGGGAAAGGTTACACATAGGCAGGGTGAAAGGTATCCCACTTAAGATGAATCAGAAGCTCTAATTCCAAGAAAGCAGATTCCAAAATCTTTTTTTTCCTGAGCCAAAATAGAAAAAAATACTAATATCTTTTTTTGAAACCCTAGATGAAAGAATAAAAGAATAGGAATACTTTTTTTTTACATAATCTACAAAGAGCAAGATAGGAGATCAGCAAATAAGACGTTTTAAGCACATAGTAGGGACCAGTAGTCACCCTTTTACAATTTCATTGAGTTCCTGAACTTCGGAACCCAGAGATAACTGAAAGCAGTGTGAGCATGGCATGCACATCTTAACAACAGTTTGCATAATAAATAATTCCAAAATAAAATAAAAATTCACAAATTTAAGTTATAGGAGGAGTTTGCAGAGCAACTATGTTACTGACAGTACCTTCTGGGGTTACGTTTATCACTGCCCTGTATCCCACCCACTTCTCTCAGTGTGTATTTTTCTCAGTTAATGTACTTTGTATTAAAGTTAAGCACTGCAATTTTCCCTATGACCCAAAGACTCAAGAATGTGATGTGATTTTGCATGCGTGGGTGGGTAGGAGTGTAAAACAGTGGCAAGTAGGACAGAAAGGCTCAAAAATAAACAAACAGAAGAGGTGGGTGCAGTGGCTCACTCACAGCACCTTGGGAGGCTGAGGTGGGTGGATCACTTGAGGTCAGGAGACAAGCCTAGCCAACATGGCACAACCCCGTCTCTACTAAGAATATGAAAAGTAGCCGGGCGTGATGGCATGTGCCTGTAAACCCAGCTACTCAGGAGACTGAGGCAGGAGAATCGCTTGAAGCTGGGAGGCAGAGGTTGCGGTGAGCTGAGATTGCACCACTGTGCTCCAGCCTGGGTGACAGAGTGAGACTCCGTCTCAAAAAATAAATGAATAAACAGTACAAAATTTCAATAGTTGTTAGGTCTTAGCACATTAGTATATGCTACTGCTTTCAAATTGCTTAGGGACTATGATTCGCCTTATCATTCTGGATACATTAAGCACTAGGACTCAATAACTCCACTGTCTCAAAGAAACTCATGATTTCTGGCATAGTTAAGACACTTTACGGAAAGCTGTTTCAAAGGAAAAGTAGCTACCATGAAAGACAATCTGCCTTCTAGTTAAGGACTAGAGTCTAGCATGAGAGAACCACAGGAATGCAGGCAAAGTGAGCAGAGCACAGTGTAACATCCAGAACTGTATGCAGCGCACCGATACTCAAAGGGACCAAAATCTGTCCTCTACCTTTTAAGACCATGTCTGAGAATGTCTGGGCAAGTTCCAACAGCAGAGCTGTTCCGACACTGGACTTTGCAGCTCCAGGACCCCAGGAGTCTCTCTGGGCCCCAACTACAACATAGCGATCTTAAAAAAAAAAAAAGAGGAAGATAATTTACATCATCAGTAGAAAGGTAAAAGGGCAGTACATGTATTCAGGATAAAAGAGCTTACTTCCCATCTGACCGAGGACTCTGGGAATTAAACGCTCACATGAGAATACTAATTTTTTTACCTTACCAGTGTGCTACCTTTTTCCTACACTACTAATTAAATTTACTGACTACTCAAGTCCAAGGATTTCTTAATAAGTGTTGCCTGTTTGATTGCATTTAAAAAAGTCAACTCCAAGGAATGGGAAACAACAGCTTGCATGGCTGTTTATTCATATAGTCTATGCCTGTTTTCTTGCCCCAACTACAGAGCTGAACAGCTGAAGTAGACACTGTGCAGCCCGAAAGATGTTTATTATCTGCCCCCGTAAGAAATCTGCTTATCAATGTTCTAGTCAGTAACTCAGAATAGATTTTCTAGTCATGATAGTCAATTTTTTTTTCATGGTAGCAGTTCACACTGTGCAATAGTCAATTTTTAACAAGAATTTTGTAGGGCCTTATTATCTCCCGATAAAACTGACAAATAGACCGGGCACGGTGGCTCACGCCTGTAATCCCAGCCCTTTGGGAGGCCGAGGCAGGTGGATCACCTGAGGTTGGGAGTTCCAGACCAGCCTGACCAACATGAAGAAACCCCATCTCTACTAAAAATACAAAATTACACAGGCGTGGCGGTGTGTGCCTGTAATCCCAGCTACTCAGGAGGCTGAAGCAGGAGAATCACTTGAACCCGGGAGGCGAGATTGTGGTGAGCCAAGATCGCACCACGGCACTCCAGCCTGGGCAACAAGAGCGAAACTCCATCTCAAAAAAACAACTGACACATAAACAATTCACTTTAGGACAGAGCAGATTGAGTACTCCATAAAGCCAAGCCAAGCCAGCTTTCCTACACTCCCTCCTTCTCTAGCCACAGCTTAAGAACAGCAAAGAAAACAAATAAAAGGGGGTTTTTACCTGGTTCTACAAAGCCTTTAATAACTCCAAAGATGTTAAGAATTTTTATCTCTTTCATCACATTGCTCACAGAGAGCTTCACGCTCTTGTTTTGTGAGGTTACCATCCTGCATGAAGAGTCGGTTTTCCAGTCAGAAGGACAGTCTCCTTCCATATTTCTAGAATCAGAAAGCAGGCATAAGTTCTGAGCTTTTGTCCCTTGCCCAAGGTTTACTTCTGCTCAGGGAAGTTCCAGATAAGGAGGACATATAAACAAAACCATTTGTGTCTTACTTGGATCTGTAGGGAGGCAACTGAAAACCATGAAGCACTTCCTAGTTCAAGCAATATTTTAAAAAACTTCTGTAACGATCCTCATCTGATATCTGCCTTTCTGCCAGAGGCTTAGCTATATAGTTTATATTTGGAACACATGCCAAGATGGACTCAAAAATCAAGCTCTTTTAATATATAAAAGAACATCAATACATTTTTGTGTTTTGTCTCCACTAACAAGGATAGAAGACATTCTTATTTCAGTTATAAAAAATATTCCTCAGCTGGGTGCGGTGACTCATGACTGTAATCCCAGTACACTGGGAGGCTGAGGCAGAATTCCTTGAACCCAAGAGGCAGAGGTTGTAGTGGCCAGTATCCATAGCACGCCATAGCACTCCAGCCTGGGCGACGACAGAGTGAGACTCAAATAAATAATAGAAAAAAATTCCTGTGCTTCCCCAATCTAATTCCTGTGTTATCCAAATAATAGCTGCTTCTAAGGAGGCTTACTTATATAAATGTAAGTTGAAACATTATTACTACTCTACTATATAACAATAAGATGGGAGGCTAGCTTCACAGGTTGGTGAAGACTTGTAGGTGCTGGGCAGAATGAGTCAACAAAAATCACCTATGATAAGCGCCCCTTAGCAGTATCAATAGTCATAGTATTTACATACTCCTTATATACAGATGTTCTTCATTTGAGACTGTATTAAGTAGAATATATTTTAACCATCCAATTAAGTTAAAGAAATAGGGCCAGAGAGCTTATGTCACATGAGATAAATGCTTGCATAAAGGTCTGAAAATAGATCTCCATCCCATGACAGGAAATGAGAAGTATGTCCACATCAAAATCAAAATTAATGATATGTACTCTAATCAAACTGTTTTTAAAGAGGGATACTAATCTATAGGGAGGATATCCAGAAGAACAAGCCATGACCACAAAGAATCTGGAAACCATCATGATTTTCCACCAATCGTGAGGCTTTTCCATCAATAGCCAAGGAAACTGGAATCATCGTGTATTGCTTAAAATAAAAATCCAGAACAAATGGATGTTTCAGGTAATAAGATTTTATCCCAATAAGAATTCTAACAGATTTTCTCCAGTAACAGAGCAGGGTGCTGTAGGCATAGTGCTTCACCACAGAAGTACTCGAGCAGAGCTATATCAGGAAACTTGCACAAGGAATTCACTGGGTAAACTGGACAAGGACTCCTGGGTTTATAAATCCAAAGTCCATTATTAAGACCTCTTTATAGAGAAAAATTCGTTTTTATCTGTATCAAGGTAACAGCTAACCGTCATCCAAATTCCCAAATGTGGAAAATTATAATCATTTTTAACATTTTAATCAACATACAGTTCTTCCCTAATCGTAAAACGCCACCCTGCAAGACAGCTTTCAAATAAAAACGTACTCAAACAGCCTTTCTGCAGCAGCTCTGGAGATCGTTTGGACAGGTATATTAGGCAATCCTGAGGACCGAGACGGTGGAAACTGAGTGTGATTGAAAGAAGGGAATCCAGGTGTGTAGGGGTCGCCTGTTCCCAGATGAGCCTGGTAAACAAAAGAGCAATTCACTCCATCACATACTTCCTCACAAGGTTCTCTGTAAGATCCAGATTTGGTATAAGGCTGCAGCCTGAGCTTAGTTTACCAACCTGAAGCCTCGAAATTCTGAGTGGCTCTACAATGTGACTCTCAGTTTATGGCACATGGAAATTCTCAATTCAAGGCACTATTGAAATGCTTTTAGCAACAAATAAAGCCTCCAAGTCAATGTAATCTATCTTCTTGCTTACTGCAAACACCCTCCCAGAAAAAGAGCATTAAGAAAGGCACAGCTATTCCTGCTAATATAGGAATCCAGTAACAATTCCAAGAACTCAAAAGCTGATTTGCTCAAGAAATAACTCACATGTCCAAAGAATGAAACGTCTGCATCAACAATGGGAAATTTAGTCTTGTCCATGTATATCAAGACACCAATTGCATTTGCACTTTCAGCATTTGCAACCTAAAAGAAAACATATAAAGCCCAGAAAATGAACATCATATGAAATGAGAACACATCCTGGACACTATGCTAAAGGACAAATGGTGACAGAGGACTAAACTTATACTTCCAAATATTTCAAATTGTTTATCTGTGGATTTGTTCATGGTTCCCTGAAAAACTCACTAGTTTGGAAAATAAGAAAAATAACCATGACCAGGAGCAGTGGCTCACACCTGTAATCCCACCATTTTGGGAGCTTGAGGCGGGCAGATCACCTGAGGTCAGTAGTTCAAGACCAGCCAGGCCAATATGGCAAAACCTGGTGTCTACTGAAAATACAAAAATTAGCCAGGCATGGTGGCAGGCACCTGTAATCCCAGCTACTCGGAAGGCTGAGGCAGTAGAATCACTTGAACCAAGGAGGCGAGTTCAAGCCTGCCACCATGCCAGGGTAATTTTCTGTAGTTTTAGTAGCGACAGGGTTTCATCATGTTGGCCAGGCTGGTCTTGAAGTCCTGACCTCAGGTGATCCACTCAACTTGGCCTCCCAAAGTGCTGGGATTACAGGCGTGAGTGACTACAGGCACCCACCATGCCGAGCTAATTTTTTATATTTTTAGTAGAGATGAGGTTTCCCTGTGTTAGCCAGGATTGTCTTGATCTCCTGACCTCGTGATCTGCCTGCCTTGGCTTCCCAAAGTGCTGAGAATACAGGTGTGAGCCACCACACCCAGCCCCTAATTTTCCTTTTTATAAAACATTTTTTTAAATTAGTTATTTATTTATTAAAAAGATGGGGTTTCACCATGATGGCCAGGCTGGTCTTGAACTCCTGACCTCAGGTGAACCACCCACCTTGGCCTCCCAAAGTGCTAGGATTACAGGCGTGAGACACAGCGCCCGGCCGATAAAACACGCTTTTAACTGAATTCTATATATGCATGAAACTGAGTTACAGAGACAAATAGCTTTCACTTAAGCATTTATTAGGTAAGTGGAACTTACTTGATTTGTTGGGTATTTTAATAAAGTGTACTATCTGGTCTGAGAGTTTAAGACTGCTGGTTTTCAGAATGCAAGAATATCAATAAGAAATATCACTTAACTGAAGAATAAGGTACCAAAGTACTGTATTTAATGTTATAATAACTCATACTCACCTTTTCTGCAAAGGTGATTTTCCCTGCTCTGACAATCACTATAGATCCATTCACAGGAGAGTCTAAATCCTCAAAATCTTTTTCAGTACCAAAATTAGCATGGACCAGTTTACCCTAGAACAAAGACATTAGATTAAATGAGCATTACGGTATCAGAACACTGCTAAAATCTTGAGACAGAGAATTGTACAGACCAAACCCAAGACAAGCAACCCAAGTAAGAGATAGAAGGGGGCCCAAAGCCCTAAAAAACATATGCATGCTAAAAAACTTTACAACTTTTAGGTCAGAGCTATAGGGATAAAATTAGGATTTTTGGTCTCCTATGTCTTTCATGCCTTTATCCCATACTGCCTTTAATCTGAAGAGCATTTTAGATTAAACTGGCATATGTAGGCTGGTCATGGGACTGCAACCCTGGAAAAATCTTAATCTTGAAGACATCATATAAACAGGCTTTAACTGAAAGGTCTGATAATAAATCTGTCCCAAAATTGCTAAACACCATCTATGACAATAAAGTGACTTGCATACACCAACTTTAGATATGTCATTATGCTCCAAAGCTAATAACAGTTCAGATGAACAGCTATCACCTGACACTAATGACCAAGCACCTGACAAGAGAGCTTGAAGTTGAACAAATATCTTCAATGTTGTTTAACAGAACGATCTACCCATCTCCTGGCTTGTATGCAGCCAGGCAAAGTGATAAGGCACAAGTATCCAGAAAAGCAAGGAATCACCATAGCACTTCACCTGCCTCTAAAGGTATCCACTAAACATGTACCTGACTTACAAATGTGTTTTGCTGTTGTTGTTTTGAGATGGAGTTTTGCTCTTGTTGCCCAGGCTGGAGTGCAACGCCACAATCTCAGCTCACTGCAACCTCCGCCCCGCTGGGGTTCAAGTGATTCTCCTGCCTGCCTAAGCCTCCTGAGTAGCTGGGATTACAGGCACACGCCACCACACCTGGCTAATTTTTGTGTTTTTAGTAGAGACGGGGTTTCACCATGTTGGCTAGGCTAGTCTCTGACTTCTGACCTCAAGTGATCCGCCAGCCTCAGCCTCCCAAGGTGCCGGGATCACGGGCATGAGCTGCCGCACACAGCCACAAATGTGATTTTAAGCTGAAAATTATTCCATCTAACTGTTCTCTATTTCTGCGTTAATTTGACTGTATTTGCCTAAATTTAAAAAGACCAAGGGCTGGGCACAGCAGCTTACTCCTGTAATCCCAGCACTTTGGGAGGCCAAGGTGGGTGAAACGCTTGAGCCCAGGCGTTTCAATTCAAGACCAGCCTGGCCAACATGGCAAAACCCCATCTCTACCAAAAAGAAAAAAAAGGAAAAAATTAGCTGGATGTGCCAGCTACTCGGGAGGCTCACTTGAGCCCGGGAGGCGGAAGTTGCAGTGAGCCAAGCTCATGCCACTGCACTCTAGCTTGGGCGACAGAGTGACACTCTATCTCAAAACAAATAAAAAAAGATTGAGCTAAGAATCCAGCTATGACTAGGCCCCAGCCACGATGGATACTTAGAACTGCCCCCACAAAGAGGATATGCATTCATATAGCAAGCACTACTATGTATGTCGGCCATTCTCCAAAGCTCTGCAACGTGGCAGTAAATAGAACAAACTCATGGTTCTCCATATGGCTCACATTCTAATGGAAACAAAGGCATAATGTCAGGTGCTACCAGTACTACAAAGAAAGAAAAAGATAAAGCAGGGTAAGAGGAAAGTGATTAGAGAGAAGACTTTGCATGTTGGCTGTGTCATTAGAGGGTTGAAAACCAAACTATCAGGATCATTTACATTTTACAAGTACATTTATAACTCCAAAGAACAGAAAAGATGAGTTTTTGAATGATTCAACCTCATGAACGGTTTGCCTTACTCACAGTGACTGTTGCGTTCTGACTATACGCCACGTAACCTCCAGGATTCTCCACCAGATAAACAAATTCACTGTTTGTACCAGTTATGGTCACTGAGTTTTGAGCACTGTTAAAAAGATTAAGTTAAAATAAGGCTAAGGTCATCCTTCCAGAAAAATGCAATAGCTTATATTTTTAGCATGTCTTATTACATCATTTTGCTTGAGGAAATTTACCTCCAAATCTTAACACTAATTTTTATTTTAAAAGTCTTTGGGCCGGCTGTGCATGGTGGCTCACGCCTGTAATCCCAGCACTTTGAGAGGCCAAGGCAGGCGGATCACCTGAGGTCAGGAGTTTGAGACCAGCCTGGACAACATGGTGAAACCCTGTCTCTACTAAAAATACAAAAATTAGCCTGGCATGGTAGCAGGCACCTGTAATCCCAGCTACTCAGGAGGCTGAGGCAGGAGAATCACTGGAACTTGGAAAGTGGAGGTTGCAGTGAGCTGAGATCGCACCATTGCACCCCCAGCCTGCAGGACAAGAGTGAGACTTCGTCTCAAAAAAATAAAAAATAAAAAAGCCTTTGGGCCACATGGGGCGACTCATGCCTATAATCTCAGCTTGGGAAGCCGAGGCGGGAGGATCGTCTGAGGCCAAGAGTTAGAGACCAGCCTGGCCAACATGGTGAAACCACATTTCTACTAAAAATACAAAAATTAGCTGGGCGTGGTGGCACACACCTATAATCCCAGCTGCTCTGGAGGCTGAGGCAGGAGAATCGCTTGAACCTGGGAGGCAGAGGTTGCGGCGAGCCAAGATGGTGCCATTGCACTCCAGCCTGGGCAACAGAGCAAGACTCCATCTCGAAAAAAAAGTCTTTGCTATATTCTGCACACCTGAAAATAGCCACTTGTATAAAAATAAGTTTACTATCTTCCAACATACCTGTCTTTGACCTGAATCTTAACAAAATGTTCATCACGCCAGACTTTGCTTAGTTTACATTCACGAAATTGATTTTCAATATACCACGCAAGATTTTCATCTTTTTGAGATCCAGCCTCACGAGGGACATAGGAATTTTCATTCAGCAGCCTGTAGGAGAAAATGTCTTTTACATGAACTTTAATTTAATTTAAAATAAACATTTAACTCAGGGATTAAACAAGTTGTTTTGAAAGCAAAATCAGATAAATGAACTGTGACCCAAAACTTCTAGATTTGCCAGAATAACAGAAACTAAGAAAAAAAAACCATGCCCCAAATGTTAGTTTACGACTTCAAAGCTTCTTTGCTCACCATAAAGCACTCCCTTCAAGAGCCTCATCTTAACATAATGTATCTGCTTAGGGTGGTTTTCGGGGAAACAGTAGCTCCCAGGAGATCCACTATAGGCTATCTAGGATGGAGTATCAATTTTTGCCTACCTGTGAAGCATTTCTGAGTACCCTGAAGCAAGACTGCATCTTGGTCTGATCTCCCATAGTTCTACTTACTCAGCACTAGTTCCTACATTTTTGTAAGGTCAGACTATCCTCTCACTTTATCCATAATTTCTGGTGTACAATAAATCAACTAGATGAAGTAAAAAATGTCATTAACTTAAGACTAAAGAGTTATAGTACCGAAGCTGGGTGTGGTGGCTCACGCCTGTAATCCTAGCACTTTGGGAGGCCGAGGTGGGTGGATCACCTGAGGTCAGGAGTTCAAGACCAGCCTGACCTTTATGGTAAAACCCCATCTTTAAAAAAAAAAAAGAGTTATAGTACCATTGTAACTGTAGAAAGCTAGCAAAAGGGAAAAGATAAATTTATTCTTTGTACAGAGAAATATATGGTGCAAAGATAGCAAAACTCTAAGGACAAATATTACAGCTCTTTTTAGAATTTGTCTAGCACCCTTTCTAGTTTTTGCCAGAAAGTCCCTTAAAAATTAAATAAACAGGCTAGATGCAATGGCTCACTTGGCAACTCCACTTGTAATTCAAGTGAACCCTACTTGGGATTCAAGTGCTGCGATCCCAGCACTTTGGGAGGCTGAGGCAGGTGTATCACCTGAGGTCAGGAGTTCGAGACCAGCCTGACCAACACGGAGAAACCCTGTCTCTACCAAAAATATAAAATTATCCAGGCATGGTGGCACGTGCCTGTAATCCCAGCTACTCAGGAGGCTGAGGCAGGAGGATCACTTGAACCTGGGAGGCAGAGGTTGTGGTAAGCTGAGATCGTGCCACTGCACTCCAGCCTGGGCAACAAAAGCAAAACTCCGTCTCAAAAAAACAAAAATAAGTAAGTAAATAAATAAAAATCTGGCCAGGCATGGTAGTTCATGCCTGTAATCCCAGCACTTTGGCAGGCTGAGGCAAGAGGATCACCTGAAGTCAGGAGTTCGAGACCAGCCTGGCCAACATGGTGAAACCTCATTTCTACTAAAAAAAAAAAAAAACCGCAAAAATTAGCCAAGCATGGTTCAAGTCTGTGATCTCAGCTGCTAGGGAGACTGAGGTAGGAGAATCACTTGAACCTGGGAGGCAGAGGTTGCAGTGAGCTGAGATCCTGCCGCTGCACTCCAGCCTGGGCAACACAGTGAGACTCCACCTCTAAATAAATAAATAAAGACTGCATCTCTACAAAAAAGAATTAGCTGGGTATGGTGCTGCATGCCTGTAGTCCCAGCTACTCAGGAGGCTATGATGGGGGATCGTTTTGGCCTGGGAGGTTGAGGCTGCAGTGAGATGAGATCGCACCACTGTATTCCATCCTCCAACAGAGGGAGACTGCCTCTGGATACTTATTGGTGTATGGGTTAGTGTGCGAGTATCTGCAGAAACTAACAAGTACTAGAAACTTAGGCAGTTAAATTACTCATGATCTAGATGAAAAGGGCTACTTCTGCCATGTGTTGCTTCCTTAAAAAGAAAAAAAGAGGCCGGGCATGGTGGCTCACATCTGTAATCACAGCACTTTGGGAGGCTGGGGTGGGCAGATCACCTGAGGTCAGGAGTTTGAGACCAACCTGATCAACATGGTGAAACCCCATCTCTTAAATGAAAAAAAGAGAAAAAGGTGATTGATGTCCTTGTCAACAACCAGAGCTTAGTACGATGTTATAAGACGTTAAAAAAAAATCAGAGCCAGAAGAATGACAGCAAGCAATAATCCACAGAGATGGGGCAAACATCAAGGGCCTATGCATTTTTTAAGAAAAAGGAGAATCCCAGAAAAGGTCTCCCTTTTTTCCCAGTATAGTTTCAGTTCTTTTCAGGCCCCTTACCCTCTTCGGCTAAAACACGGCAAGTCTGGTCTTCTCTAAAAAGCCACTCCCCACAGTGTCACCATTATTGCTTCCCCGCAGCCTATCTATCACAATTACTTGTCCAGACACGTGGAAAGCAGCTCACACTCACTTGATGGTGCTGGTGAAGTCCGTGGTGTCCAGTTTCTCTGACAACATTTTTTTCAGGTCATCCCAATATAACTGAGGTACTACAGGTAAGTTCTCTTCTGGGTTCTCCACTGCTGGAGACTCTGTTCCTGCTAGTCTCTGACACTCAATTTTCGGTTCTACGTGTTTACAATAGCCCAAGTAGCCAATCATAAATCCTAAAGAGAAAAAGTTGCAGAGCTGAACTCAGAATTTCATTTGTAATCTATCCCTGTTGGAACTGTTAATATTTTCAGGTAAGTCTTGAAAACACTGGTTTTAATCAAATTCTAAGTAATCTGAATGTATATAGTGCATCTCAGTTTTGTATATTTTAAGTCACTTAATCTAATAATTATATATTAGCTTTATTTCAAATAGTTACCTATTCAAAATATAGGTAGCTTTTTCCAAAAGACCTCCTTGAAACATTAGACCGAACTTCTATGCCACAAATATCCTGTGTATATTTTAGTGTAACATTTGCTTCCTGGTGGAGTGGGAGCAAACAAAAACAGATAAATAAAAAACACCTGCACATTGCATTGAAGAATTCATGGGTCTCTCTTTCCTGCCAGATTAAATTCAATGGCATCCACAGAATCTACTCATGACTTCAATGACAGCCACAGAATCTACTCATGATTGTCTTCCTAGTGGCACTTAAAAAGGCACAAAGTGGGTGGGCGCAGTGGCTCATGCTTGTAATCCCAGGACTTTGAGAGGCCGAGGCAGAAAGATCGCTTGAGGCTATGAGTTCGAGACCGGCCTGGCCAACATGGTGAAACACTGTCTCTACTAAAAATACAAAAATTAGCTGGGGCATGGTGGTGGGTGCCTGTAGTCCCAGCTACTCGGGAGGCTGAGGCAGGGAATCGCTTAAATGTGGGAGGCAGAGGTTGCAGTGAGCCGAGATTGTGCCACTGCACTCAAGCCTGGGCAACAGAGTGAGACTGTATCTCAAAAAAAAAGGCACAAAATATATGCTAAGCTGAAATAATAGACTTCCTGGAGTTGGTAATGGAAAACATTTAAGTTTGGAATGGCCATTCTTACCAATCACGAAAAAGATGATCACGGCAATAGTCCCATAGAAGATGCTTCCATTACACCGTTTGGGTTTTGTGACATTGGCCTTTGTGTTATTGTCAGCACTTTCTTCTTCATCTACAGCAAGTTTCATCTCCACGTGACTGTTATCACCATCTACTTGCCGAGCCAGACTGAACCGGGTATATGACAATGGTTCTCCACCAAACTGTTTTGGGGGGAAAAGGGCATTATGAAGAACAGGCATAGGACAGTTTGTTCAGGTACTATACTTGTTAGTGGGCCATTACTGTGACTTGCTATATATTCTTCAGGGTGTTCTCCTTTCAAATCAATATTTTTCCCTCTGCTCAGTCAAGGGCTAGTTCACACTGGTCTTCTCATTCAGCCTCTTTTTTTTGTAAATTTGTATTTTTTTATTTTTGGAGACAAGGTCTCCCTCTCTTTCCCAGGATGGAGTACAGTGGTATGATCATAGCTCACTGCAGCCTCAAAATCCTGAGCTCTAATGATTCTTCTAGCTGGGACTGGGGGGCACAAATCAGTTTAGGATTCTGTGTAGCAATCCAGACTGTGATGTTGGTGAGAGCAAGAACAAAATGAAGTTACAAACAAGCAGAAATTCTGACTAAGTATAACATAGAAGCTAGAAAAGAGAACAGGCCAGATACAGTGGCTCATGCCTGCAATCCCAGCACTCTGGGGGCCGATGCGAGGGACCATTTGAGATCAGGAGTTTGAGACCAGCCTGACCAACATGGTGAAATCCCGTCTCTACTAAAAATACAAAAAACTAACCAGGCATGGTGATGCGTGCCTGTAATCTCAGCTACTCAGTAGGCTGAGGCAGGAGAATCACTTGATCTTGGGAGGCAGAGGCTGCAGTGAGCTAAGATCACCCACTGTATTCTACCCTAGGAGCGTAGGCTGGGACTTTATCTCAAAAAATAAAAATAAATAAATAAAAATAAGAGGCCGGGCGCGGTGGCTCAAGCCTGTAATCCCAGCACTTTGGGAGGCCAAGGCGGGTGGATCACAAGGTCAAGAGATTGAGACCATCCCGGTCAACATGGTGAAACCCTGTCTCTACTAAAAATACAAAAAATTAGCTGGGCGTGGTGGCGCGTGCCTGTAATCCCAGCTACTCGGGAGGCTGAGGCAGGAGAACTGCCTGAACCCAGGAGACGGGGGTTGCGGTGAGCCGAGATCGCGCCAATGCACTCCAGCCTGGGTAACAAGAGCAAAACTCCGTCGCAAAAAAAAAAAAAAAAGGGATCGAACTCTTGACACACTATCTAGTCCTCTATTGTCTCTTATTTTTATTTTTATTTATTTTTTTCGAGACGGAGTTTCGCTCGTTACTCAGGCTGGAGTGCAATGGCGCGATCTCGGCTCACCGCAACCCCCGCCTCCTGGGTTCAGGCAGTTCTCCTGCCTCAGCCTCCCGAGTAGCTGGGATTACAGGCACGCGCCACCACGCCCAGCTAATTTTTTGTATTTTTAGTAGAGACAGGGTTTCACCATGTTGACAGGGATGGTCTCAATCTCTTGACCTCGTGATCCACCCACCTCGGCCTCCCAAAGTGCTGGGATTACAGGCGTGAGCCACCGCGCCCGGCCTAGATCCCTTTTCATCACAGCTTGATGGCTGTCTTTTCTGTATGTTCTTTCAGCTTTCACTCATACTGCCGACACAATGTTTCTTTTCCTTTTTTTGAGACAGAGTCTTGCTCTGTCACCCAGGCTGGAATGCAGTGGCGCAATCTCGCCTCACCACAACCTCTGCCTCCCAGGTTCAAGCGATTCTCCTGCCTCACCCTCCCAAAGTGCTGAGACTACAGGTGCGCACTACCATGCTTGGCTAATTTTTGTATTTTTTAGTAGAGATGGGGTTTCACCATATTGGACAGGCTGGTCTCAAACTCCTATCCTCGTGATCCACCTGCTTCAGTCTCCCAAAGTGCTGGGATTATAGGCATGAGCCACCACGCCCCATCAGCCTTTGCTTTTTACCTCTCCTAAGACATTTCAGTGCTTTAAAGAGTTCATCTTATCTACTTGGCTGCCTCCTCTACCACACCCAGAACCACCCTGAGTATTCTTCCAAGACTTCCTATAATTAACCCTATTGAAGGCTGAACTCTTTATAGGATCCGTTATGCCTCAAAACCACTAATTCAAATGTCAATAAATACCTGATAATAATAGATTTGAGTTATTATTTCATGTTTACTCAGTTAAAGTCATGCTTGTATATTTCACATCTTGCAGACACAGAAATACAACTGAAAATATCTTACCAAGTTAGAGAATGCTGATCGAGCTTGATCCATCATTCTGGACTGCCACACAGAAGAACCTAGGCATTAGAATAGAGAATTACTGAGGAAGATACTACTGTATCAGATTACTGAGCTTTCTATTACCAGGCTACATGGTATATCAAATTTTAAAAATATGTTATCAGTTTTCTAGAAAAGATATTTAATTGTCCCATACTTTATGGGACAATTAAATTTAGTGTGATCTTTTTAAAATTTTATTACAGATGTATTTCTTTCCTTATTTTTTATTTTTATTTTTTTGAGAAAGTCTTGTTCTGTTGCCAGGCTGGAGCGCAGAGGCACAATCTTGGCTCTTAAAGGCATGCACCACCGTGCCCAGCTAAGTTTTGTATTTTTAGTAGAGATGGGGTTTCACCTTTTTGACCAGGATGGTCTCGATCTCTTGACCTCGTGATCCACCTGCCTCGGCCTCCCAAAGTGCTGGAATTACAGGCGTGAGCCACTGCGCCCGGCATATGTATTTCTTTTTTTTAAATAGAGACAAGGTCACCCTATGTTGCCCAGGCTGGTTTTGAACTCCTGGCCTGAAGCAATCCTTCTACTTTGGCCTCCCAAATTGCTGTGATTACAGGTATGAACCACTATGCTTTGAGTAGACAAAGTGACACATACAAAAAGACAACAGACTATCACTTGAAAAAAAATTAAGACTAAAGCAGACAAGATCTGTTATGTTACAAATACCACAAACCATCTCCAATAAGAAGGGGAAGAAACCTTGATCCTGATTCAATGAATAGTTCCTACAAGTAATTTGATATATCACTGACACACAAAAAGAAACACAAAACAGATTATGTTATTTTACAGTTGAATAGGCCAATTATGAGAGAAACTGTGTGACTTGTTCAAAGCTAAAAACTTACAATCTAAATTAAGTTCAATGGGTTACTGGGTTATAGAAATTGTGTTCTCACCTCTGGAAGTTTGAGACATTAACCTTAACTTTTGTCAAAGCCAAACATGTCTCTGTAATCAAAGTCCTACGTTAAGTCAAAAGCCTCAACTGAAATCTAAATTTTCTAGTTAATTTGGTTTGAGGACATCTAGATGCTTGAAAGTGACATTATATTGAGATCTGCAAAATGGACATTTATTGCATATTATTTTAAAGCTTTTCCTGTATACAAGTACAGTTACAGCATATTAAACACGCACATGACACAAAGCAAGCTGTGAGGTATACACAGATTGTAAAGCAAAGGGTAATTCTAACAGGTATTAAGAAAAAGCTTCCCTTTGCTGGGTGAGGTTGCTCACGCCTGTAATCCCAGCACTTTAGGAGGCAGAGGCAGGAGGATCACAGGGTCAAGAGATGAGACCATCCTGCCAACATGGTGAAACCCTGTCTCTACTAAAAATACAAAAATTAGCTGGGCATGGTGGCATGCCCATGTTGTCCCAGGTACTCGGGAGGCTGAGGCAGAAGAATTGCTCGAACCCGGGAGGTAGAGGCTGCTGCAGTGAGCTGAGAGCACCACTGCACTCCAGCCTGGTGACAGAGCAAGACTCTGTCTCAGGGAGGAAAAAAAAAAAAAAGAAAAGAAAGAAAAAGCTTCCTACCTAAAACCTATTACAAAAAAATTCTTTTTATATCCAAGCTTTAAAGATCAGGGTCTATATGCAATAGATCATATTCTTAGAAGCATCATAATCTTTTCTTTGAGAAGGAGTTTCTGTCCTGACGCCTATGCTGGAGTACAGGGGCATGATCTTGGCTCACTGCAACCTCCCCTACTAGGTTCAAGGGATTGTCCTGCCTCAGTCTCTGAGTAGCTGGGATTACAGATGCCTGTCACCACACCCAGCTAATTTTTGTATTTTTAGTAGAGAAGGGGTTTTACCATGTTGGTCAGGCTGGTCTCGAACTCCTGACCTCAGGTGATCCACCAGCCACCAGGCCTCCCAAAGTGCTGGGGTTAGTTACTTGAGAAGAATATCCCAAGGAAATTGGAGGCATGAGCCACCCCACCCGGCCAGAAGCACAATCTTTTGCCCCTTCTGTTATAAAAAGCTTATCACTACCACGGCACCACAACCGTAAGGACCCAATCACTAGGTCCAGAATTGGAAGGCCCCACCCTAAACCAATTTTAACCACCCTTTTCTAGGAAAAAACATCTTGCAAATTTTAACACTCATCTGAATCATCATTCCTCAAGTTTTCTATTAGTTTTAAGAATAAAGTGGCAACATGTTTAAATAAATAATCTAAGTTACTGGTGTATCTTGGGCATTCCCAATGGTGACTGAGAACAATTGAATTACTTACATGATGAAGTTCAGGTAGGCAAAATGTAGCCCCACATGTTTTGAATCATGAAATTCAAGGAAGTTCTGAAACATCTTTAAGATGGAGGATAAGGGGCTGGCAAACATGCTAGCTAAACCACCGTCCCAAACTTCTTTACAATTTTTTTTTCTTTTTGAGACAGGGTCTGGCTCTGTCACCTGGGTTGAAGTGCAATGGGGTCATTTTGGCTCACTGCAACCTCTGCCTCCCAGGCTCAAGTAATTCTTGTGCCTCAGTTTCTGGAGTAGCTGGAATTATAGGCGTACAATACCATTCCCAGCTAACTTTTTGTATTTTTATTAGAGAAAGAGTTTCTTGCCATGTTGGCCAGGCCGGTCTCCAATTCCTGGCCTCAAGTGTTCCGCCTGCCTCAGCCTCTCTAAATGCTAAAGTTACAGGCGTGAGCCACTGCACCCAGCTCCCAAACTTCTTTAAAATTGAATCATTCCTACTTTATTAAAATACGGCATTAAACTCTATTCAGTTTTCTAAATGCAGTACTTATCTGGAGGTTTGGGGCTTCTTTGTACAGACTCAAAATTAGAGATCTACACGAAGCTCAGTGGGGATCAGATACCAAAATTTCACCTATGCCAAACATACCCAAAGCCGCTACTTCACTTTTCTTAAGTAAGCCACGTTTGTTACTACTGACAAGCCCACCTCAGTTTATAAACCAGGCCACTGTTTCAAGTCCTTGGAGCTCAGATAAACCGAAGTTTCTCTGCTTGCTTTAGAAGCTCTGTTCTAAACACATTTAGCCTAACAACTTCACTACCGTCTATTTTCTCCAAAATCGGACAGAATCCAGCCCATGCTTTCACCCACTAACATTCTTCCTCTGTTCCTTGAGGTCCTCCTCATTTCTTCCAGGCTCAGCTCAAGGGCCATCTCTATGAAGCCTTCTCTGACTGTCTTCCCTATCCTGTAATAACTGATACTGAACTACCTGTAAAAATATTATTTAATAGTATTGGAGCATGCTTGATGCCTGAGATTTCAAATGATATGAAAAACATAATGAAAACATTGGACCTGGAATCTTTCCCCATTCCTGCCACTCTTATGGTTTAATAGGGAAGTTTTTTTATTTTGTTTTATTTTGTTTTGAGATGGAGTCTTGCTCTGTCGCCCAGGCTAGAGTGCAGCAGCCCGATCTCGGCTCACTGCAACCTCTGCTTCCTGGGTTCAAGTGATTCTCCTGCCTCAGCCTTCCAAGTAGCTGGGATTACAGGCGTTGGCCACCTCGCCCAGCTAATTTTTCTATTTTTAATACAGACGGGGTTTCACCACGTTGGTTGGGCTGGTCTCGAACTCCTAACCTCAGGCGATCCGCCTGCCTGTGCCTCCCAAAGTGCTAGGATTACAGGCGTGAACCACGCGGCCTGGCCAAAGTAGCTTTCATTGTGGTTCTTCAGGTTTAGCTGGGAACCTTGCTCCGTGACATTTAAGTACATTATCAGAGGGAAGCCACTGCCTCGCCTTAGGGCAGATTTAGCCTAACTGCTGTCTATCCAACCGTCTTCAACACAGGCTAGGGTTACAGCCACCATACCTTGATAGCCACTTCAAAGGAAACTGGAGGATGCCATGCCGTATCTAACGCTGCAGTATCAATGACAAACCCTCGAGAAGCACATTGTAACCCAGCATTGACGGGGTAAAAAACCAGCAGGGTCTACAAGTCCTGTAGAGAGCCTAACCTTCGTGTTCACAGTGAGCTTAGCATACAAGTTATGGGGTCGCCAAATACAATGTCCTCCTTAATCCTCTTATCCACCGGGAGGAACATGGAAAATGCCGCAGAATCCAGTCCCCTGCACGGTAAGGGACGTACCCAAGGTCTCCACGAGCAGTGAGCAGAGGGAAAAGAGCTGAATCAGAGCATGTTTTCTTACCCACCCTCCCAACCGCCACCTTAAAGCGCCGTCCGGCAGAAAGGACGCACGGGCCCGTCCGCGTGGTCAGTACAGCACGGCCCTCTGACCGCACCGCTCATTTCCCGTGTCCTTCGCAAGTAAGCCACTCCTGCGGCCTCCGCCTTGGGTGACAACTGCCAGCGACATCCTCGGCGTGCCCGCCCGCCCGCCCGCCCGCCCAAGGCTGGGTCCATTCTCCGGCGAAAACGGGATGCGCGCTCGGGGCGAACAGGCAGGGCCAGGGGGTGCCAGAGCCCAGGTGTCCGTTTACAGAACCCGCACCTCCTGCGGGTGACACGCCGGTCACCGACCCGGGGACAGCTCTGTCCCGTTCCTCGCGAGAGCAGCGCCCGCCCGGGCCCGGGGCAGCGGAGGTTCAGGAGCCCAAGGTCACCCACAGATCCCAGCCGTTCCCCGGGGCGACTTCCTGGAGCAGCCACGTGCTCCCCGCGCCGCGCAGCTGCAGCCTGGCCGCGCCGCGCTCCGAACCCGCAGCCCAGGCCCGGCGCGGGAGGCCCGCAGCTTTCACCCGCGAGGAGCCGAAAGCAGCATGGCGGGCTGAGCCCACCGGGGCACACCTGGCGTCGCCCTCACAGCAACCAGGGAAGCCATTCGCCGCTCCGAGACCCAGCAGGCGGGAAGAAGGCAGAGAGCGGGGAAGGCACGGAAGCGGAGGGACGCGCGGCGAAACGGCGCCTCTCACCCCGCGCACCTGCAGCGCCGCCGCGGCGCCTTCACCGCTCCGCCCGGGCGCCCTCCCGCCTTCACCGCTCCGCCCGGGCGCCCTCCCGCCTTCACCGCTCCGCCCGGCCGCCCTCCCGCCTTCACCGCTCCGCCCGGCCGCCCTCCCGCCTCCCGCCCCGCTCCGCCCGGCCGCCCTCCCGCCCTCCCGCCCCGCTCCGCCCGGCCGCCCTCCCGCCCTCCCGCCTCCCGCCCCGCTCCGCCCGGCCGCCCTCCCGCCTTCACCGCTCCGCCCGGCCGCCCTCCCGCCCTCCCGCCTCCCGCCCCGCTCCGCCCGGCCGCCCTCCCGCCTCCCGCCCCGCTCCGCCCGGCCGCCCTCCCGCCTCCCGCCCCGCTCCGCCCGGGCGCCCTCCCGCCTCCCGCCCCGCTCCGCCCGGCCGCCCTCCCGCCCTCCCGCCCCGCGGCGGCGCCCTGTGGCTGCCGGTCCGCACCGGGGCTGCAGCCCGAGCAAGCCCCGCAGGATGAAGGGAAGACACGAGGGTCGGCGCCGTCCTGGAAGCCGAGCGTCACTCACCCTGGCGCGCCCTCCGTCCGGCGGAGCCCGAGCCGCCACGCGAGGTCCCGGCGCTCTCTGAGGGCACTGCGGCCCCGAACCGGCGGTTTATAGCCTGGTCCCGCCCCCCCGCCCCCCGGGGTCTTGCGTCACTTCCTGAGGCACGTAGCCCAGCGAGGCGCTCTCCACAGACCGCCGGGGGGCGGGAGCGCGCGCGCCCGGGGTCCTCCGCGGAGGGCGCTCCGGGCCCGGCGAAGTCGCGGGGAAAAGGCGCCAAGGCAGCAGGTGCCGGAGGAGCCGCGCCAGGGGCGCGCTGACCTCCGCCTCGACGCCTCCCGCCCCGGGAACCCGGCGGCCTCCCCTGACCTTGACCGACAAGGTCAGACCGGCTGGCGTGGACGCTTCGGTGCTCCCTGAACGCCCGTGCGGGAGGGGATCGTAGGCAGCCGTTACGGCCGCTCGTGTGAAGGTGCGTGTTGCCGCCTCGGGAATACAAAACGGAGCAAACAGCAAAACGCGCGTTTTTATCGGAACGTGTGCACGCTGCGCTGTCACCGACACCGGCGGAGCGCGTCGCGTCGCGTCGCGTTAGTGCAGGACGGACCGACAGGGAGGACGCAGACGAGTGACTGAATGCGGTGATGGGATTGGAGGCGAACTTTCGTTTTCATGACCGTTATGGTTATTGTGCAATGCGTAACGAGGAATTCAGTTTTTCAGTTTTTATTTTTTTATTTTATTTTATTATTTTTTTTTTTGAGACGGAGTTTCGCTCCTGTTACCCAGGCTGGAGTGCAATGGCGCGATCTCGGCTCACCGCAACCTCCGCCTCCTGGGTTCAGGCAATTCTCCTGCCTCAGCCTCCTGAGCAGCTGGGATTACAGGCACGCGCCACCATGCCCAGCTAATTTTTTGTATTTTTAGTAGAGACGGGGTTTCGCCATGTTGACCGGGATGGTCTCGATCTCCTGACCTCATGATCCACCCGCTTCGGCCTCCCAAAGTGCTGGGATTACAGGCACGCGCCACCATGCCCAGCTAATTTTTAGTATTTTTCTTAGAGACGGGGTTTCACCATGTTGACCGGGATGGTCTCGATCTCTCGACCTCGTGATCCACCCGCTTCGGCCTCCCAAAGTGCTGGGATTACAGGCACGCACCACCATGCCCAGCTAATTTTTTGTATTTTTAGTAGAGACGGGGTTTCACCATGTTGACCAGGATGGTCTCGATCTCTTGACTTCGTGATCCACCTGCCTCGGCCTCCCAAAGTGCTGGGATTACAGGCACGCGCCACCACGCCCAGCTAATTTTTAGTATTTTTCTTAGAGACGGGGTTTCACCATGTTGACCGGGATGGTCTCGATCTCCTGACCTCATGATCCACCCGCTTCGGCCTCCCAAAGTGCTGGGATGACAGGCACGCGCCACCGCGCCCGGCCCTAATTTTTTTATTTTTATTTTTCTCACCCTGTCGCCCAGGCTAGAGTGCAATGGCGCGACCTCAGCTCAGTGCACCCTCCGCCCCGCTACCTCCCGTCCGCGGGGTTCGAGATTCTCCTGCCTCAGCCCCCGAATAGCTGAGATGACACGTGCCCGCCACCGCGACCAGCTAATTAATTTCTGTATTTTTAGTAGAGATGGGGTTTCGCCATCTTGGCCAGGCTGGTCTTGAACTTCTGACCGCTTGATCCAGCCGCCTTGGCCTCTCAAAGTGCTGAGATTACAGGCATGAGCCACCGGCAGCAAACAAATAAAATTCAATTCTTGTCACTGTTTAAACTGTTTCCAAACAATCGCCCGCTGTCCCCCCCCTCGGGTCGGTAACCTGAGCCAGGGAGGTGGTTACATTTACAAATACAAACAACCCAGCAAATGTTTCTGGGCCGTGGGCTTTTACTTTTCCCTTTATCCCATTATTTCTTCTGCTCTAAGACAGAGAAAGTACTTGGGATTTTCTCACCACCTGCCTCTTTACTCCCATTCTCTAAAATCTCTCTCCCTAGGCCAGGCGCGGTGGCTCACGCCTGTAATTCCAGCACTTTGGGAGGCCGAGGCGTGGGAATCACGGGGTCAGGAGATTGAGACCATCCTGGCTAACATGGTGAAACCCTGTCTCTACTAAAAATACAGAAAATTATCCAGCATGGTGGAACGTGCCTGTAGTCCCAGCTACTCAGGAGGCTCAGGCAAGAGAATCGCTTGAACCCGGAAGGCAGAGGTTGCAGTGAGCTAAGATCGTGCCTCTGCACTCCAGTCTGGGCGACAGAGCAAGACTCTGTCTCAAAAAAAAAAAAAAGAAAAAAAAATATTTCTCCCCAAAAAGAAACGTTTAAAATCCTATGAGCAGGAGCATTGCTGCACCTTAGATGATCTACTCAGGAAAAGGTTAAGGCTGTACATCCACAGAGGGCCTACCTTAACATTCAGACAGCAGGCCTGCTCCCATGTGCTGTTCTTTCTTTCCTTTTCTAATTATTAATTGTATTTATTTATTTATTTTTGAGACAGTCTTGCTCTGTCACTTAGGCTCGAGTGCAATGACACAATCTTGGGCTCACTGCAACCTCTGCCCCCAGGTTCAAGCGATTCTTCTGCCTCAGCCTCCCAGGTAACCAGAACTACAGGTTTGTGCCAACATGCCCGGCTTATTTTTTGCGTTTTTAGTAGAGATGGGGTTTTATCATGTTGGCCAGGCTGGTCTCAAACTCCTGACCCCAGGTGATCTGCCCACCTTGGCTTCCCAAAGTGCTGGGAAAACAGGCATGAGCCACTGTGCCCAGCCTGTTTATTTTTTATTCGAGACAGGGTTTGCTATATTTCTCCATACTAAAGATGCAAACTTAGCTGGGCGTGGTGGCACATTCCTGTAATCCCAGCTACTCCGAATGCTGAGGCAGGCTGGCTGAACCTAGGAGGTGGAAGAAGTTGCAGTGAGCCAAGATTGTGCCATTGCACCCCAGCCTGGGCAACAAGAGTGAAACTCCATCTCAAAAAAAAAAATTAGCCAGGCGTGGTGGTGAATGCCTATAACCCCAGCGGGAGGCTGAGGCAGGATAATGGCTTGAACCCAGGAGGTGGAGGTTGCAGTGAGCCAAGATCACACCATTGCACTACAGTCTGGGCAACAAGAGCGAAACTTCATCTGAAAAAAAGAAAAAGAAATATATTTTTGGCAACCTTAATTTAATACCTAGCCCAGGTGCAGTGACTCATGCCTGTAATCCTAGCACTTGAGAGGCCGAGTGGGTGGATCACTTGAGATTGGGAGTTCGAGACCAGCCTAGCCAACAGAGTGAAACCCTGTCTCTACTAAAAAACATAAAAATAAAATTAGAAAATAAAATCTGGCAGGTGTGGTTGTGTACACCTGTAGTCCCAGCTACTTGGGAGGCTGAGGTGGGAGAATCACTTGAACCGAGGAGGCAGAGGTAGCAGTGAGCTGAGATCATGCCGCTGCACTCCAGTCTGCACAACAGAGCAAGACCCTGTTTCAAAATAAATAAATAAATAAAAATAAATATACAGTGCCAGTTACTGTGGCTCGTGACTGTAATCCCAGTACTTTGGGAGGCCGAGGCAGGTGGATTGCCTGAATCCAGGAGTTCAAGACCAGCCTGGCCAACATGGCGAAATGCCATCTCTACCAAAAATACAAAACATTAGCCGGGCATCTGGAGGCCAAAGTGAGAGAATGGCTTGAGCCTGGGAAGCTGAGCCTGTAGTTGGCTGAGATTTCGTCACTGCACTCCAGCCTGGGCAACAGAGTGAGACCCTGTCTCAAAAAAAAACCCACAAAAATACCATTAATCTGTCAACTTTGTAATAGAGGACCTAAAACTACTTGCTCTGGGGTCCTACCTGTGGCCCAAATAGCAGATGAAGTCTCTTCCGTCAGCATTTCTCAAACATTTTTTACTGCATTCCATGGAT